CCCACCCATGCGGCATGCACAGGTCTGGACAACTGGAATTTAGGGAAATTTTCCATACAATCGGTGCGGGTACGATCCCCCCCCCAATATGCGGCATGCCCAAGTCTGGACAAGTGGAACATAGAAAAATCTTCCATACAATCAGGGTGCGTACGATTCTCGCCACCCCTTCCCCCTTCCCCTTCCCTATCCCCTATGTAATGAAAAATATTATTTAAAAAAATGTGAGCCCAACATTGGGAAACACAACAATGTAGATGGGTTGGCTCTAATACCACGTTAAAAAGATGGGCTTGGTCTAACTCAACTGACAAGCTAGCTCATGGAGTGAGGAATTGAGGATTGTCCATGAGCATACGAGAAGACAACATTCAATTCTTTCAACCAATGTGGGACACTAACATACAGATTCGCTGCCAATCACCATCATGCCCTTACTTTAATCATAAACATCCGATAATTAACCAGCTCGTAAATCAGGAGGGTAGAAATCGAAATGGCTTCTTCTTTTTTCCATATTCAGAAAGAGCAAGATTCATTTAGTTCTGAAGAGTGCTATATGAACACCCCTAGAGATGCATCAAATCAAATCTTCAAGCTTAATACCTCACTTTAGTACCTGAACTTTTCGTAGAAGATTGCGGGTCCGATGCAATTTCTCAATGTGTTCTCTCTTCTCAAAAAGAGAAGTATTAACCCCATCACTTCTAGATTGAACGGACATTATCTGCAAACAATTGAAAGAAATCTAATACTTCACACACAATTCCTTTTCATCTTTTATTTCCTGGGTCAAAAGTAAAACCAAATAAAGCAAATAATTCTTTGGACGATTAAAAGAAAGGAAAGAAAGAAAATAAAAACCTTTTCAAGCAGCTGTTCCATATTTGTTTCCATGCCAACAATATTGTTATTCATCCTGAAAAGCAATCATTAAATAACTTCTGCACCAACATGCCAAAAGAGAATACAAAAAATAAAACCCTGCCAATCGTGATATCAACATCCGATCTGAGGATAGCATAACAACGCAAGAAACTGACGAAGCTACTTATTTCTTCTCAATTATTCAGGAACCATGGCACAGCCGATAATGTCATAAAAAGCTCGACGCACTAAGTTAGAATTCAGCTGCAATTGTACCCAAGTATCTGCCACTAACATGATGAAATAGCTCACATCTTAAAGCTACTTCCAAAGAAAAGGTTTACCTTTTAATAGCGTCTGTGGCACTTACAAACTTGTTGTAATTTTCATATACCAACATCTGCAGGTCAGTATCAAGATTCTTAATCTCAGCAGCCATTTCAACATGCCTCTGAAGCAAACCTTCCAAATTGGACTTCTGCACCTATATATGCAGAAAAATCACATTATCTAGTCAATCATCCTTTCAAGGACGATGGTATCATTAAGAGAATAGCTAACTCCTGGACAAAGAAAAAGACTAGTGACAATCTCTCTGATAAAATATAGCATAAGCATTTCATATGTTACGCCGGAAGTCTTTCAGAAGAGCACATTAAGTTAAGGAAAATAATCATGCTCTCACATAAAGTTTTATGTCATTTCTTTAAAGAGTTACAACAGTTTTATTTCCAAACATATATTTTACATTCTCTTTCTTTTCTTTTCCTTTTTTCTTTTTCCTTTTTTCTTTTTTGGATAAGGTTACATGTATGCTACACTTAGATGCAGATAGGTACATTGAAAGACTTCTTGTGAATCGTAATAAAGGGATTAAACATTGGCTCATAACATGGTCGCATAGTAGTACAGGGAACTATACCATAGTGATTAGGGTCAGTACAAACCACCTTTCACATTACTCCTTCCATTCAAATTTATATGGCACTCATTCATTTTGGCAGATTAGTACAACTAAAGGCATACTGTGAATCGCGATAAATGGACTCGACATGAGATCATAACATGCTCACAAAGTAGTACGGAGAACTCTAACCCTGCTATTACAAAAAGGGGATACATACTACCTAAAATGGGTCACCATAAACCACCTCTCGTAGTACTTACTCCGTTCCTATTTGTATGACACCCTTCCATTTCAGAAGCCTGGTGCATCGAAAGAAAGACGTATTGTGAATCATAATATAGTGGACTCTACATGGGATCATAAACATAGTAGTATAGGGAATTATACCATTGTGATTACACAAATAGAATACAGACAATGGAGAAATGTGTCACCATAAAAAAAACATCTCTCATATTACTCCCTCCATTAAAATTTATATATCACTCTTCCAGTTTGGGATGTTCTTAGATATTCTATATTAATAGGGGTAATATATTCTTTTACTTTAATATTTTCATCCATTACCACTAACATAATGCATACGTCAAGTTACAATCTTAAACTCATTAACAATCATATAAAATGGAACGTACAGAGTATTATTGGGAAAAACAATGCGAAGGATGAGAGACATACAAGAAGGTTCATGTATTGATCGGCGTCGAATGGGGTGGTGTTGATGGTATCCAATGTAGCGAATCGGGACGTAGCTTTGGGCGACATTGAATTAGAATTAGGATGATCAGGAGAATAGAAGCTTGATAACAGGTCTCTCATTCTCTTTGATTTATCGTCCAGCGGCACATCGTCTTCCCCCATTTTTTCTTTCAAATCTTTCAGAATTTGACAGTGAATTCTTTCAAACGCTATGGCAGTGTTCTTCGTCTGCTAACTAATTCGACTGAGAACTCCCTGTGAATTGATGCTAAATCTGATCATTGTGATCCGATTGCATGTTTATAGCCTGTTTGGCCAAGGAAGCCAAAAGTGATTATGTTTTTTAATTTAACAATTGCTTATTTTACAGAGTTAGGTATTTGTCCAAGCTTGTAAAAAAAATATTTTAATGGCATAATAATGTGCTTTCAGAAGTTAAAAAAGTAAAATAAGATATTAATCAAGTACAAATTATTATTCTCCAAAACTATTTTTTTCAAAATAAGTGTATTTTGGAGCTTGCCGAAGCACGCTATTTAGTTTTGTTTTCAAAATAGTAGTATATAAACTTAAAATTTGAAGTTGTGGAATTTTAATATTCTTATTTTTGTTTTGAACTTTGAAATAAAACATTGTTATTTTTTTCAAAAAAATTGACAAAAAATGCATGAAATAATTCTTTAATTATTCCTTGTGTCCACGTGTATTTTGAGAGTTGTTCTTTAATTTAGTTTCAGTTAAAGAGAAGAAACTTAAAATGAGTATTTTGTGGTTTTCTTTAATTTGATTTTTTACATTTAAAAAAAAATCAACCCTTACCAAATTGTTTGTTAAACATATAAATCAAATCAAACTAAACATAAAATATATTTACATGTTTCAATTTTTGTAGGTTACACATTTTTCTTTCCTGTCTTTTCTATTCTTCTAAGTATATAACTCACTCCATACTCCGTGGTACTATTTTTTTTAGCTAGAGAGAGAATCTCTCACCTCCCTCTATAATATCTATTATGGATACAAACACCGCCAATTATCCCACCGGAACCACCAGATAAAATTAACCAAATGGACGTGCAAGAAACCACAATGCACTCCTACAAAGAAATGTTACTAGATAAATAAGCAACAAGCCAAGCCGAGTATTATGAAGAGGAACTCCCCTCAAACAGTAAAGATGATAGGGGCAAAGTAGTTGATGGTCCAATAGCCTTATCCCAGGAAGACAAGAAACGTCTATACCATCCATGGCGATTTTCAGTAATCATAAAGGTCGTTGGTCATAGAATGTCCCACTATTACTTCCGATCTAAGCTATCTCACCTCTGAAAACCTTCTGAACAGTTAATCTTGATTGATTTAGGTTGGGACTTCTTCATAGTCAAGATTAGTTTAGAGGAAAACACGGCTAAGGCACTACACCTGGGTCCATGGTTTATCTCTGAGAACTTCCTATTAGTACGTAAATGGGAACCAAAATTCGTTCCACAGGAAGCTACACTATTTTCCACTGCCACATGGATTCGCCTACTACAGTTGCCAATAGAATTCTATGATAAAGAAATTCTGGAAAAGGTAGGTCGAAATCTTGGCAAATTACTTAAAATTGATACTTGCACATCCTCCACTCTAAAGTGAGGTATGCCCGCATATGTATACAGGTTCCACTTGAAATTTCGGTGGAAATATTAGTCATTACCAGAGACTACAAACAGGCAGTGATCTATGAAAGGGAATGAACCTTGTGCAAAAGTTGTGACAAAATTGGCCACACCTTTAAATCTTACAATTACACGCAAGAAAGGAAAACACCATCACAATAAGTCCAAAAATGCTCTGAAACGCGTAGTCCTAAAGAAGATAAGGACGAATGGATGACGGTAACCTTCCCACGAAGAAGGAAACCAAATAAAAAACCCATGTAGGCACAAAGTAGTGAAGCAGAAATTGCAAACCATCCTGAATAAAAATCACAAAAGATACACGTAAAAATGTTCGATGCAAATTCTGGTAAGTTTCTGGAAACTCAAACTTTTCAATATAATTCTAAAATTAATAATCGGCTCAATAATCTGAATAACAAACAAAAACCCATTTCTTAAACTCCGATAGTCCAATCCACAAGGTCTCATCCAAGTCAAACGCAAAAAGAAAAACAGGACCGGAGTCTGAAGAGGCGGCCATGGATACAACTAATCGACCCGCCCAAGTTGTACACAATGAGGGCCCCATCACTAACCCAAAATCAGGTATTGACCTGACAAGCAAAATTGGATTGGGCCACCACCTCCCAACCAAATCCACTACTTGAACCATACCTAATCGGAGTTTACGAGCCCAAATGATTCTACCTATCCCAATACATACACGCCCCCAACTCATCCCCTAACAGAGATCTCTACATAATCATCTTCACCACAATTCATGGATACTCAAGTGCCTCACTTGAGAAATCACTCAAACTCAAGTGACATGACACCTTTCGTCCACTCAAACAGATTCACAATTAATTACAAATCCACGGTATTAGATGCAAATACCAACGCTCAATTTGCTGAATCTGATTTGACTTGTAACTCCAATTACCCATTATGTACCAAACGCCTAACCTAATCCTTAATTTTACCTAAAGAGGTAAGGCCAGGAAGCACAAAAATGAAAAACTCCCAAAAATCACCCACCATCATGACCTACATCCCATTGCCGCTAGACCACACACCGACATCGTGGCAGGAAGTGGCACTATAGGGTCAGGGACTTGCCTATAATTTCACTATAAGGAACCAGTAGGTGACCCTAATCGTCCAAAACCCTGCGCACCTAGCAAGGGTAACAGTGGAGGCCCTGAAAAGGGCCTTGGTAGCCTTTGGCCCAAACCTCTGGCAATTGATAACCCTCAGTGGCAGCATGCATCCCAACCTAGATCCCCCATTGATCAACAACTTCATCTCTTAACAATCGATTACCTTCTTCGCAGACCCAATAGCGGAAGACCCAACGACGACTCTATAATTTGTGACTATTCAACCATCATCCCAAGAAATTTCATCGTTTTCGACTCCAACAGGGAAAAGTAAGCACCACCGCTAGGGAACATAACAAAAGAGATCAACAGAGCGCTGTAAATTGATCACGCCCAACTATGTCTTATAAAAAGGACTAAGCGATCGTTGCGAATATGTTCCGGCTAGTAAGTCCAGAGTCGAATCCCACAGGAAATTAACCTATCAAACACAACTACTAGACTCGCACAAATTCACACAATCAATCTTCAGAAATATTTAAGTAACAGATTGGGTTTTATTAACTAAATATTATGTAATGAAAATGTAATAATTAACAACTAACTACGAACGAGTTGTAAACAAGAATTGAAATGATTTAAGGTTGTGATTTCCCCTATTGTCGGAATCTTTTCCGCTACGTTTTCTACAAATTTGCCTAACTGTCGTCTTCTCTATCGACCATGAGCACTCTAACTATCGTAACTCTTTCCAAAGTAATTACCACAATTTACTAGGTATATTCTCCCGAATTACGCTAGCTGGCATTAAGTACAGCTCACTCAGATCGCATCAAGGTTTCGTTATCCCTAAACACACTTTTAAATATTTGTATTGATCCCTCATATACGTTTAGGAGTAATGTTGTTCAACAAATACCTAAATATGCACTCTCTCCCGAGTAATACATACTAAATAGGCACAGCTAATTGAGGGCCCTTCAATCAACCACAAGAATAATATAGTTGAACAAATAGAGAAAATACTGCGGCAAATTTATATTAACGTAATAAGAAAATCATCCTTCAATAGGTTCCATCAAAACCCTAGATTAGGAAGTTAGATACTCATACTGATAGTAACAATATCCCAAATATTCTGCATAATTAAAATACAGAGTAAAGATGAAAAGATGTAGAAATGATGATTCTAACTCCCAAGGAGTGATTCCACCAGCTCTTCTTGCCTCTGGCTACAAAAAACGTCCTCCAAGTGGTGTTTTTAGGTCTATTTATATGTGTAGAAGAAACCCTAAACGTGTGGGCCGAGTCCTAGTCAAATCCGGAACGAATTAAGTCTTCAAAACTCGGATTGGACTTGGCCTCAAGCCTGGCATCGCTAGCCTAACGCCTGGAATTTGTCTGGCCTCGCCAGGCTAAAGCCTGGCCTTTGGCTGGCCTCACCAAGTCTCTCCTTTTCACTGTTCTCGAGCATACTTTTAACGTTTAAGTATCCCTTTTGCTCTACTTTCATCTCCAATTCACCTACACATAAAATATACCTCATTATGCACAAATAAAGTGTAATTTATCATTAAAGCATATAAAATGCAAGGCACATAATGTACGAAACTATGGAATTATAGCCACACATCAATACCCCACACTTAAACATTGCTCGTCCTCGAGCAATCAAACTATACTTATAGATACGACTTTTTTAAGCAATTCTCCTAACTCATTACACCAAGAATTTTTAAAATAGTTTAAGCACACAAGTGTGACATCCTCGCTTCAAGATTCGACTCACAAATACCATGCCTTATTCACAATTCACTTACTTACTCTAACATGGATGTCAACAACATTACCTTTCCTTTATGAATCATGTGCCCTCACCCAATCAAATAGCTTAGTTCCACACACCATGAATTTTAAGAACATAGGAACTCAAGATAGACAAAATTCACTCGCTCTCAGAAATAACATTCATATGCCACAAATGATGCACCATAGGCTTGCCCGTAGTGTAATACTCTACTAATTGAGTTCATTTAGTCTAAGATCAAATAGGACTTTCATTGGTTGTAATGTAGGCTGCGGGTCGGGTAGGATACATTTGGATATGAGTGACTACACCTCCCTTAAGCACTTTAATAAATATACTTTAACACACATCCCATACTTATGCCCAACCAAACATTCCACCTTCACTTCAATTTATATTACCCTATATTTCTTTAAGCATAATTACAATAAGAGTCGCTACTTATCAAAGAATATTCTTTTTCCCAGCAATACAACTATTTTTTTTTCAATTCAAGCGGCTCTTACTTTTTCAAAACAATTCACCTTTCTCCTTATTTCATTAGTTTCACTCAAAAACCAAATTAACCACCCCATACTTTAACTTTTACAAAGTTCATAACAATTCAAGTGCTCATTAGAGGTGAAAAGGTTCAAATAGATGGTTAATTCAAACAATTGGGTAAGGCTTGTAGTGTGGTTGCCAAAGAAATATGATTACAGGCTCAAAGGTGTTAACTACGTTACATAACTTTTAGGCGGGTAAACTATATATATCTGGCTTAACAAAGAAA